TGGTTCCATGCCTAATTTTAAGCAACTTCATATTGATTTCCATAGTGGTTGTACTAATTTGTAATACTACCAATAGTATAAAGGTGTTCCTTTTTTTCTCCACGTTGTCTCTAGCATTTATTATTATTTGTATTTTATTGTTGTTTTAGTACTGGGGATTGAACCCAGCGGCACATAACTACTGAGCAATATCCCCAACCCTTTTTTATTTTGAGACAGGTTCTTACTAAATTGCTTATGGCCTCCCTAAATTGCTGAGGCTGGCTTTGAATTCTGTAATCTTCCTATCTCAGCCTCCCAAGCTGCTAGGATTATAGGTTTGTGCCACTGCTCCTGCCTTATTGTTTGTATTCTTAATGACTGCAATTTTGACTGGTGTGAGATAAAATCTCAGTATAGTTTTGGTTTGAATTTCCCTAATTGCTAATGAAATTGAACATTTTTTTCATATATTTGTTGGCCATTTGTATTTCTTCTTTTGAGAAGTGTCTGTTTAATTCTTTTGACCACTTATTAATTGGGTTATTTGATTTTTTGGTGTTAATTTTTTTAGTTTTTAAAAATATTTTCTAGATATTAATCCTGTGTTGGAAGAGTAGCTAGCAAATATTTTCTCCCATTCACATACCTAATTGTTTCCTTTGCTATGCAGAAGCTTTTGCCTTGATGCCTCCCATTTATTAACTCTTGTCATTATTTCCTCAGCATTAGGGCCCTATTGAGAAAGTTGTTGCCTGTATCTATATACTCACATATTGACACTATATTTTCTTCTAGGAGTTGCATAGTTTCTGGTCTAATTCCTAGGTCTTTGATCCATTTTGAGTTGATAGTTGTGCAGGGTGTGAGATAAAAGTCTAGTTTCATTCTTCTACATATGGATAACCAGTTATCCCAGGACCATTTGTTAAAAAGGCTGTCTTTTCTTCAATGAATGTTTTTTGTTCCTTTATCAAGGTTCAGATGATTATAGATGTGTAGGTTTGTCTCTGTGTCTTCAATTCTGTACGATGGTCTTGTGTTTGTTTTTATGCCAGTACCATGCAGTTTTTGTATTATAATTTCAAGTCAGATATTGTGACACCTCCAACATTGTTTTTTCATCTTGGACTCCTTTTCTGTGCTCTTTAAAATATTCTATACCAGATTAACAAGCGATTTGGTTATCTACATTATAATAATTCAAGATTCCATATTACCTATATATTTATCTTTACCAGGAGATATGTACATTTTCATACTGTTTTGTGTTGCTGTTAAACATTCTTCTAATGCCCTCTCCTTTCAGCAGGTCAAATGTTGTGATGAGCTCCCATAGATATTGCTAATTTGAGAAAATCTTGACTTCTCTTCATTTTTGAAGGGTGGATTTGTTGAATATAGTGTTTTTGATTGGCCAGTTTCTTTTTTGTTTGTTTCGGTACTTTGAATATATCATCTCACTCCCTTCTCATCTGTTTTAGTCAGCTTTTTTGCTACTGTGACTAAAAGACACAACCAGAACAATTTCAGACCTCTCAGTCCATAGATAGCTGCTTCTATTCCTTGGGGCTTGAGGTAAAGTAGAACATCATGGCAGAAGAGTGTAGCAGAGGAAAGCAGCTCACATAATGATCAGAAAGCAGGGAGAGAGACTCCACTCACCAGATACAAAATACGTATCCCAGAACCACATCCCCAATGCCCACCTCCTCTAGCCGCACTCTACCTGCCTTCAGTTATAACTCTGTTAATCCCCACCAGGGGATTAATTCGCTGATTGGATTAAAGTTCTCATAAACAACTGATTCTCCTCTTAACCTTCCGGCATTGACTCACACAAGAACTTTTTGGTGACACCTCACATCCAAACCATAGGATGTTCTCCATAGTTTTGTTTAGAAACCTGCTGCTGATGTAATAGAAGCTCCCTTTTACCTGATGTAAAGCTTTCCTACTGACTACTTTCAAGATTATTTCTCTTTTTCCTATGACTTTCAACAATTTGTTTAAGATGTGCCATGGGGTAGATATCTTTAGGTTTATCCTAGTTCAAGTATTTTTGAGCTTCTTGAATTTTATGTCTGCTTCTCTCCCCAGATGTGGGAAATTAGAGGCCATTATTTCTTCAAAAAAGTTCTTGACCCTTTCCTCCGATCCTTCTCTGTGTGTTTGCTCTGCTTGATTTTTGTCCCATGATTCCCTTAGATTCTTCATTCTTTTTCTTCCTCCACCTCTTACTTTCCTCCTCCTCCTTCTGCTCCTCTCTCTCAGTAATTTTCAAAGACCTGTCCTTGAGTTCACTGATTCCTCTGCCTGACCAAGTCAGTGTTTTGAGTCCCTCTCTTGCATATTTTTCAATTCAGTTATTATATTCTTTATTTTCAGAATACCTACTTGGTCATTTGCAATTTGTGTATCATTGATATTGTCATTTTGTTTATGTACCATGTTCCTGATATCATTTAGTTGTCTATCTGTGCTCTCTTTATTTTATTAAGCATTTTTTTTTCACAGGAATTTTAAAATCCCTTTCTGGCAATTCCTAGCTTTTTACTTTTTGGGGCCAGTTCCTGGAGATATAATTTGTTCATTTAAATGTGTCCATGCTCCCTGTTTCTTTGTATGTCTTTGTTTGTTTGTTTGTTTGGATTTCAGTGTTCAAAGAATCAGCCAATTCTTCTAAACACTGTAATCTGGTTTTCTATAAGGGGAAATTTTCTCTACTCAGCCTTGCTCGATACTGAAGCTTTCTTAAGCTTTTTCTATGTGTGCATTCTTTTCTAACCTCTCTAGGCTTGTATGTAGTCTCTTATTTGAAAAAGTTTACTAGTTACTATTTAGAACCATTCCTTGGTAAGGTCCTGGTGTCTTTCAGCGGTACTGTGACCTCTTTAGTGATGTAGCAAATTGTGGCAATGGTGCTCCATCTGCTGTCTTTATGTGGTACTACAGACTGATGCTTAATCAATTGCTGACAGAACCCCAATCTGGTGTCCCATTTTTGAGTGCTGAGGCAAGACAGAAACCAGTTCTTGGAAAGCCCCCACTAGAAGTCCAAACACTGGATGTAGGGGATTTGAATGTTTTCTCCCAGCAGCACTGTGCAGTATTGTGTGATAAAGGCTCTAGTGCAAGGGAGAGAGCAGAGAATCATACGTTTTCCTTTTAGGTTTCCATGTGTTTATATCTAGGCTAGCATGGATTACATGAAACTCCTAATTGGTTTCTGTAGTTCTTACAGGGCATTTGGTCCATTTGTTGTTAAACTTATGTATTGTGGGAGAGAAGGGTCCTGGATTCCTGTCCTACCATGTTGCTGATGTTGTTCCCTCCCAGGTGTTCTCTCTACCACCATCCCTGACCCAGGATTAATTACATGATTTTTTTTAATGATTGGGCCCTGAACAATTTTCATAATTCTTCTGTGATATAAAGATTGTTTTTCTACAAGATGTCAGGAAATGACTGTCCTGGAAGAAAATTTTCATGATTTTTGTTTAACACCATGAATCAGCTTAGTGTTTATCTTATGAATTTTATTATTCCCACCATCAACTTAGCAAAACTCGTTTTGATACCCTTCTATGTTGGTGTTCCATTTTTAGATGGTTTTCTAAATTGTATGTACTTTTTAGTTGTATCTAATAAGTGGTATTATTTGACAGCTCTTCTCAATTTTTCCATCTTCATTGATAGCATGTATAATTTGAAAGACTGTGATGCAGGGAAGAACATATATACATCTTGTAGGTTATGCAAATGTCTGTTTGGCCTTTTGTCTCTAACTCCCAAACGTGGCCTAGTATTGGTTCAACAAAAGCCCAATACTATTTCTTGATTATCTTTGTGCCCGACATTGTTCTAAGCACTGGGATATAGCATTGAATGAGCAAAACCTCCTACCTGGAAAAGGTTTGCATTCTAGCAGGAATTGGCAGTATGGTCTAATTTTTATTTTAAAAGAATTTCTTTGGCTACTGGTTTGAGAACAGACTTTTAGTGGAACTGGAACAGAAGCATAAAGATGTATCAGGAGAATATTTTAATCATCAAAGCTAGACATTATGGTGGAGACCACTGGAAGCACAGGAGGTAAATGAGAAGGGATCATTAGTCCTCGTTCAGGTTGGTAGAATACAACAGACTGGATTTCTTAAACAACAAAAATTTATTCTCCACATTTCAAGAATGTAGGAGGTCTGAGTTCAAGGTGCCAGCATGGTTAGAATCTAACTAGAGCCCTCTTCTTGATTTAGATGTGATCATCTTCTTCCTGTGCTCTCACATAACAGAGGGACACGGCAAACACTCACAAGAGCCCTAACCTCATCATGAGACCTCCCAAAGGCCCCAGCTCCGGGTGTCATCTCAATGGGGATTAGGGTTCACCATTTGAATTTGGGGAGTTGCAATCATGTGTTCCATAATGTGGTCATATTTTAGCAAGAGAGCAAAAACAAGTTTGCTTATGGATAACAATGTGGACTGTAAGGGAAAGGATGAGTCAATTTTGTTCAAGTGAAACTGAAACTTTAAAAAGTCTATAGCCACTTCACCTTAGATGCAAGGTCGATTTTGTTACTCATTAAATTTCTCCTTGCTGCCTCAAAGTTCCAACTGGCTTCCTGGAAGGTACCTTTGAGAATGTTCTGCCACTCCCCTCAGCTGGCTTGTGCTATTTACTTGGAAATAAAGAATGGCTTACCATCATGGCAAATTGAGAACACATTTAGTGTTTAATAGATCAATTAATGACATTTGTTGAAAAATGACAACTTTCAGTGTAATCTGATATTGTAACCTAGTTGGAAAATGGTGCTTTATCTGTGTAGAGATAACATTAAAAGGGCTGAGGTGCACTGATTGCTGTAGGGAAAAGATAGGTATGCTTTTTGTAATAAAATAATGTTTTCAAGTAAAAAGAAAAGCTATATTAATTCCATATTCATATAAACATTATATAGTTCTTTGCTTAACCAGTTTTCCCTCTTCCTTTTTTTTTTGTTGTTGTTTTTTAGATTTTCTTGGGAGCTATGTCATTAAGCTTCATTTGCAAAGCACTAGGTGGAGTCATTATGAAAACTTCCATTACTCAAATAGAAAGAAGATTTGACATATCCTCTTCTATTGCTGGTATAATTGATGGAGGCTTTGAAATTGGTAATTGTATTTCTATCTTAATAACTAGACTTACAGAGGTAAAACACTTCACACATGATCTACAACCCTGGTTCTTAACTAGGTGCAAACTGATTCCTCAAGGATGACTTGGCAACATCTGGACACATTTTTGGCTGTTGAAACTTGGGGATAGGGGTGCTACTAGTACCTAGGGGTAGAGTTCAAGGATACTGTTAAACACCCAGAATGTACAGAATGGCCCCAAACAACAAAGAATCACTCAGTTCAAAATGGCAGTTCTTGATACACCATATATACATACCGCAATTGTTCATATCTCTGTTTGTATATAAGGTATATATGTGTATTAAGAATTGTAATGCAAAAAAGTACATGTACAATGGCATAAAGTGGCATGAACATAATTTATATACAGAGGTATGAAAAATTGTGCTCTATATGTGTAATAAGAATTGTAATGCAAAAAAACAAAACAAAACAAAATCCTAGTTATTAAGAGTGTTGGAAGACTGATCTTACATAAACCCATTGTTTCAAATTCACACCCTGGGACGCTTAACCTGCCCTCTCTCCATTTGCCCAAATGTGAAGAAAGGTTGAAAAAGGACTATGTTTCATATGATTTGTGGATAAAATGACAGATTTGGAACAAAACTATGTTAGATTTCTACTCTTTAAGGTTAAAAGTCTTTTTAAAAAAAACATGGAAGATATTGCTTTATTGTCTTAATTTTAATATCTTCTATAATCATAAAGCTTTATGTAATTAATGAACATTTTCCTTATCTTGTGAATTAGGAGTTTATTACTTCTGCTCAATTTTCCCTTTTCTTCTTACTTTTTAATTATTTGGAGACCCCCCAAATTATGTCTGTCATATAGATTGCAAATATTTCCTACAAGTTTGCCTATTTTTAAACTTTATGTAAAACATACGTGACAATATTTTAAAGTAACTATAACAGAAGACAAATCTATGAGCATTTATTTGAACAGCATTACAAATTTGCTTACATTTGATCTTTGAATCTTGTAACTTCAAGTTTCATCCTTAGTTCCTGTGAACTGTATCTTCAAGGGGTTATTTTTTCCCAGAAACAAAATTGAACACATAACATATTTTTAGATCCCCTGCTTTTTGGGAATGTGTTTTTTTTTTTACTGTGATAATTTGGGTATGGAATTAAACAATCAAAATGTTTTTATAAGAATATTATAACATTAATCTACTGTTTCATACAATTCAATAACATATATATGTTATAAATAATTACCAATATGCACTAATACACATCTCCTTTTTATCCTCAAATCTCAGAAATTTTACTAGCATGTATTGAAGACTGTCTTTTTTTATATTACCTCGACTGGAGAAATGGAAGAACTTTCCATGTAAAGGCTGAAGTCTTACTTTTAGTTCAAGAAATTTACTTCCTCTTTATTATTTGTTTCTCCTCTATTTTCTTTTGAAACATCTATGACACAACTATTAAGTTTTCTAGATTGTTTTTCTCTTTAAATTTTTCTTTCTAAATTTCTATTTCCTTTGCTGTATGTTCCATATGCTTATATCTTCCATCTTATCATATAAAGTTATAATTTGTGCATTTGTCTTATTTTTAAAGTTACAACAGTACTTTATTGTTCTCTACTATTTTATGGGTAAACATGCTATTGTATCTATTAACTGAACTTTTTTAAGTTTCTCCTCTTTTTAGTGTTATCCTTACTATTTCTTCATGTGTTATGTTATCTACTGGTTCATTTTGGCACTTTTCTGTCAAGCTTTTCTTTTCTATGAAATGCTCAGTAAATCTTGGTTGCTTTCTGCTTATTGTTATACATACAGCCAGATGGCCAGGATCGATGGTGACTCTCTCCACTTGGAATACTCTTTCTCTCCTTTTTAAACTAAATAATATAGATGTTAAACATTAAATCTCAAGTGACTTCTTCTCCTGGAAATTTTCCTGAGTCTCTTAATTAATAAAAAGTGTCTCTTCCTGTGGCTTATCAGTACCTCCATTCATATACCAGTTTTTGTCACTAGTATGTGAATTTCTTAAGGAAAGGTACCAAGATTGATTATATATTGATTATTATTATTGATTATCTGTCATCTATCTATTATTTCTGGAACCAAGCACCATGGCAGGCACATAATATAAAAATTTTACACATTTTTATTAGTTCATGATAGATACACATAATATTAGGATTCATTTTGACATAATTAGAAAAGCATGGAATATAATTTGCTCCAATTCAGTCCCCAGTACTCCCCTTTCCTTCCTCTCCTTTCTCCCCCTGTTTCTCTGCCTCTAATCTACTGATATTTCTTCTGTTTATAGTGTTTTTAAAATTAGTGCATTTTGAATATGCATAAAGGTTAAATTTATTTATACATACATGTAGTATGTATACAGGAAAATTTGATCTGACTCATTCCACCTTTCTTCCCTTTTAGGCCCTTCTTTCTCCCCCTAAATCCTCTTCCTCTGCTCTAGTGAATCTCTCTTCTGTTTTCATGTCCCCCTTTTTATTTTTAGGAAAGAATAAATAAATACATTGATGAATATCTTTCCCTCAGATCAGGAGTATTTTTCTCCATTCCAGTGCAATCCAAGTTAACTCTAAATTCTTCAATAAAATGCTGATTCACTAATATTGCATAGTAAGTTGTTTTCTAAAACTTATTTTATATAACTCCACAACTTTCCACTGACTGGTTTCACGTAGGTAAGTTTTGCCTTCTCCATTAAATGAATCTTTGGGGAAAAGGTATTTTATCTCATTCTCTATTTGCATCCATTCTGGGGCCTTCATTTCCATTGGATACAAAATTGGACTCAGTCAATATTCATTGTGATGAATCATATCAACATAATTTTGTTCTCTCCCTAGGAAACTTGCTTGTGATTGTATTCGTGAGTTACTATGGATCCAAAGTACACAGACCGAAGGTTATTGGAATTGGTACTTTCATTATGGGGGTCGGAAGCATTATGACAGCTTTACCACATTTCTTCATGGGATAGTGAGTATTTAAAAGCCCTGTGCTGTTAATTTCATTAACTTGTAAATTAGTTGTGGAATATAATTTTTTTTCTTTTAAAGAGCTAGTCTCACCTTTTGAGAAGATGGCTCATTATGTATAGTAATTGGTATTTTTTTCTATGAAACAATTAATAGCTTCATTCACTATAGCTTTCATTGTCTTTGAGATATGCATAGCACTAAATAAGTTGCCCAGTTTCATTTGAAATAAATGTTTTTAATGACTTTTTAGTACAACATGAATAGTTCACATCTTTATACATAAGATTAGGATCATACTCAGTAAGACTTTTTCGTTCAACCCATTACAGTGTGGGCTTTCCCACGGCCCTTCCACTGAAGCAAATTTCCTAAGATTATGGTGTAGTCAAGGTTGGAGTCAGATGCTCATGAGAGACAACTTAAAATAGCAATGATTTAAATAAGATCAAAGCTTATTTCTCACCTCAGAGTTAATGTAGCCAGTCCAAGAAAGCCCGATAACTGCTTTGCCTTTCATGGTCTTGTCCTCATGGCCCCAGACTCTGTCAGTGTTGTTCCAGGGCAACAGGATATCAGAAGAGATGAAGACCAAGGAAAAGCAGCGAAAAGCACACATAGGAAGTAGCTTAAGAAGAAATATTTTTAGAAGCATAATCCTTCTGCCAATGTCACCATGGCCAGAACCTTTGATGCACAGTTCTTCCATGTTCCCAGCTAAAAGTTTCAACTTAAATTACTCAGGGAAACGGGTATTGAGAAAGAGCAAGCCATTTCTGCCAGTCACAGGAATCACTGACTCATTGCCAAACCCAGCAGTCACACCTTTTGGTCACCACATTAACTCATTTTTTTTCCCTACATTGCCTCTGAGAAAACCTGTCTTCCTTGTGATTCTTCTCCTTCCTATTTCTAACATATTGCCCTAGCTGGATTTATTTCCCATCTCTGTGCCCTCTTTTTTTAAATTTTTTTTTATTATTAATTGTTCAAAACATTACATAGTTCTTGATATATCATATTTCATACATTTGATTCAAGCGGATTATGAACTCCCATTTTCACCCCGTATACAGATTGCAGATTCACATCGGTTACACATCCACGTTTTTTACATACTGCCATACTAGTGTCTGTTGTATTCTGCTGCCCTTCCTATCCTCTACTATCCCCCCTCCTCTCCCCTCCTCTCCCATCTTCTCTCTCTACCCCATCTACTGTAATTCATTTCTCCCCCTTGTTTTTTTTCCCCTTTCCCCTCACTTCCTCTTATATGTAATTTTGTATAACAATGAGGGTCTCCTTCCTTTACCATGCAATTTCCCTTCTCTCTCCCTTCACTCCCCGCTCTCGTCCCTGTTTAATGGTGATCTTCTTATCATGCTTTTCCTCCCTGCTCTGTTCTTAGTTGCTCTGCTTATATCAAAGATGACATTTGGCATTTGTTTTTTAGGGATTGGCTAGCTTCACTTAGCATAATCTGCTCTAGTGCCATCCATTTCCCTGCAAATGCCATGATTTTGTCATTTTTTAGTGCTGAGTAGTACTCCATTGTGTATAAATGCCACATTTTTTTTTATCCATTCATCTATTGAAGGGCATCTAGGTTGGTTCCACAGTCTAGCTATTGTGAATTATGCTGCTATGAACATGGTTGTAGCAGTATCCCTATAGTACGCTCTTTTAAGGTCTTTAGGGAATAGTCCAAGAAAGGGAATAGCTGGGTCAGATGGTGGTTTCATTCCCAGCTTTCCAAGGAATCTCTATACTGCTTTCCAAATTGGCAGCACCAATTTGCAGTCCCACCAGCAATGTACAAGTGTACCCTTTTCCCCACATCCTCGCCAGCACTTGTTGTTGTTTGACTTCATAATGGCTGCCAATCTTACTGGAGTGAGATGGTATCTTAGGGTGGTTTTAATTTGCATTTCTCTGACTTCTAGAGATGGTGAGCATTTTTTCATGTACTTGTTGATTGATTGTATGTCCTCCTCTGAGAAGTGTCTGTTCAGGTCCTTGGTCCATTTGTTGATTGGGTTGTTTGTTATCTTATTGTCTAATTTTTGGAGTTCTTTGTATACTCTGGATATTTGGGCTCTTTTTTAACATGCCTGTCATTTTCTTTCATGGCTAACATCATAATTTCAGTACCTCTTAAACTCCACCATTAGTCTTTTTAACTTTTCATTCTACATGATTGATGGGATATATGCTTTAAATAAAACTATCATCAATATGTGCTGACATTTTCTAGTACTCAAGATCTGTGTGCTTGTGGATATTTCCAACTTCCTGTCCCACAGGCATTTTCCATCCATATATTCAGAACTGAATTCATCATTTTTCCAAGACCAGTTCAGATTTTTCACATTCATTCTTTCGTAATGATTCCTTTACTCAAAAGGAACTTAAAACCAAGGGCCTTGTCCTAGGCTGTCTATTTACTGAAACATGGATACCTGGTAATCACCCAAATCTTCCTTTTTTATCTCCAGTCTGTCAAAGTTGGACTGCTCCACTGTCCTTACCTAGCTGAGGCTTCATTCTCTGGTCTGGACTTTGCTTCCAATTTCATCTATTCTAACTCATATTCAATACTTTAAAATGTGTATCTAATGATTTTACTCCTATTTAAAACTCGATTTCCTAGAGCAGTTTTTCAAACTTCAGATTCTGTACCAATAAAGCAATTCAGATTATTGAAATTAACATTTTCCCCATAGGCCAGAATAAAATGAGTACAATGTAGATGGGGATAAATACTTTTCTGAGAAACTTACATTTTACCTGTACATACATTTGTGAGTGTGTGTGTGTGTGTGTGTGTATTGTGGTTGTAATGTAAAATGCATTTCTTATTGGTAGTGACAGTCAAAATATTAAAAGCCCCTTGCCTGTGGGTTAATACCTATAGTCATTTGCACATGCATGGTGCTCACTTATTTGGTTGTTATCTTCCCAGATTGATCTTCTGCTGCTCCCCATCATTGAGGACCACACTCTAAAGCTGCAGTTCACTAAATGTCCATAATATATCATAATTTTGCATATACTCTTCCAATACCTTTGAACACTTTTCCTACTTTGTCTATTAAGCTCCTATTCCTCACTAATATTCTTCTCCCGTGTCATCTTCATGGTGAGATCTTCTTCAATCCATTCTATTTTCCACCTTCAGGCAGCTCTGATCATCCCTTTTTCCTTTATGACAACTCAGAACCTTGTATATGAAACTTATATCATTTATCATATCTGTCTATCTTAGTGTGAAAGTCCTTAAGTACAAAAGCTGTTGATTCATTTCTACGTTTTTGCAGCTGAGCACAATGCCTGACATACATTAGGCTGCCCACAGAGCTACAGGGTACTTCAATGTTTTGAGGATCAGAATTTGTCCCTATTCTAACTCTATCTCTGTTGTTCCTAAGAAGTTTTCTCTTATCAAATTGAGGTGCATTATAATTGTTTTTAAGTTTTGCAGAGATAGGAATTAGAAAGAGAGGGAGAGTGTGTTTATGTGTGTGTGAAATAATAACAGGTTATTAATAGAAAATGTAGATGAACTGGCATGCATTTTAGATTGATTTAGAAAACACTCCTCTAAAGTTTATAAAATTTCATTGTAAATTATCAGACAGTTTATAGTTAGAAGTTTAAAAAACAAAAAGATGAAACAAGAATACAGTATTGACCAGAATACAATCAGTCCCGGACTGACATCAAGGAATGACTTTTCTGAATGGACACTCCCACTTCACATTCACCCATAATCTCTTCTAAAATACAGGTCATAAAATTGAAGTAGAGGATTCTGGTAATTTGGAGAAAAGGCAGACACAAACAGGGTAAAATTTCTTTGTGTTTTTGGGAATAGTAAAAATATTCAGTAGATGAACAAATATTTATGTCCTGATATTCTTACAGTTACAAGTATTCTACTGATGCCCATATTAATCTATCAGAGAATTCAACACTAACCTGTTTGGTTAATCAAACTTTATCACTCACTGGAACACAACCTGAGATAACAGAAGAAGGTAAGAATTAATAGTGACAGTGAAAACGATTCTAAAATTTATGAAAAATTACTTATATCTATGAAAATGTGATACTTATTGGCAAAATTAATTAAAAAATAGGAAAAAGTTTTGACCTTTACATACAGACAAAAATCATCATGTTAATATGTATTAAATATAAAGACCTTTTAGAAAAGAGGAAAATGCCAGTAGAAAATTGGCAAAGAACATCTACATTTGAAATAAAACAATAGGAGCTGGCCTAAGTATGTGAAAAAAATAGAAACTTGCTCTTTATGGATATGTAAATTATTATGCCAATTAAATATTGTTACCTACTATAAATTATAATTCACACAAATTATAATTACAAATAATAACACTAAAGTTTTTAACTATTAGATAGGAAAATATTAATAGATAAATGAAGTGGGAGGAAGAAAAATGATTTTAGATTTTTAGTATTGTTAAGAGTATGTAAATTTGTAACTCTGGAGGTTAATTTTCACTATGCATTAAAGAACAAAAATATACTTCACACTCATCCTACTGTTATCGATTAAACTTAAGGAAATAGTCAGGAATGGGCACAAGGTCTTATTTATAGTTATAGCCAAAGCATCCATATTTAACAGAATAAAAATAAGAAATATTTTACAATTTAAAAATATAGCATTGACTAAATTTCTTATGAAGCTGTTATTTAACACAGTACTGTGCTATCATTGAGATCCTGATATGAATGACAACACAGAACAAGCTAAATAGGAGAAGTGCCATAATATAGTGTTAAATGTATACACAGATTATAATATGAATTGGATATTTAAGTCTATGATGCATAATATACATACTTTTATATGAACCTGAAGTATGGAAGGTATATAACAAACATCAGAATTGATTTTATCTGTATAGTAGGATCTCAGCTAATTTTTACTTTTTTATGTGTGTGTATTTGTGTTTGGGTTTTTTTGTTTGTATTTCAAACTTTGCAAAATGAATATAAATCACTTAAAATTAGAAAAAAAGCAAAAAAAAAAAAAAAACTAAACAAAAACAAATCCCCACAGTAATATTTAATTGTTTAAAGTAGTTCAGTTTCTGATAGAAATGCTGAAGTTAATATTTAAAATAAAACCTTCTCGTCTACCAAGGTTGTGAAAAAGAATCATCATACATGTGGATATATGTCCTAATGGGTAACATGCTTCGTGGGATAGGAGAAACTCCTATCATGCCACTGGGGATTTCTTATATCGATGATTTTGCTAAAGAAGGACATTCTTCTGTTTACATAGGTAATGTACAGAAAACATGAAATTGAATGATTATTTTGCCTGGATTTATCCTTGAAATAATAGTGTCACTAAATTAATTATTTTAACTAAAAAAATTGTTTAGATAAATGTGTTGTGTAATGTTACTTTTAAAAACATATTGAACAGGAACCATGTATTCTTAGAATCTGATAAACTTGTTTCATCGTATTTCAGGTGGGTTGCAAGCAATAGCAATGATTGGTCCAGTCATTGGCTTTGTAATGGGATCTGTGTTTGCAAAAATGTATGTGGACGTTGGCTACGTAGATCTAAGTAAGTACAATCACAACAAGGTAACACAATAATTTCTTTCAAAAACCTGATACCATTCTGCCAAATTATTAAATTTACTCTTTTAATACTATTTGCTTACTATTTTTCAAAGGTAACAAGTAGGAAAAAGCACATTAGTAATTATAATGAAAGTAAAATTCAGCTCCTATGTATACCAAGCTTTTACAACTAAATATAAAATGAGAAAAATGTAAACAATCTTATTTTATATGATGTGATCCAAAACAAACTTTAAATATTCCTCTCCCAGAACTGACCACCCAGTCGAGTCAATTTCGTTTTTTGATTGTTGGTGGTTTGGATGTTGAAGTGCAGAACTTACAGGTTGCTTTGCTGAAGCTGCCATAGAGACTGCTGGTTTGACTTATATCTGGAGTAGTTTAAAGGACTCTTACCAAGAACTTTGGTCCAGCCTCGCGTGTCCTGGCCCTGGCAGAAGGCTTGGCATATGGCAACATCCAATAAGTGCTTGTGGAATAAATGAATGAAGGAATAAATGACATCTGTAACCTTCCTCTTGACTCTCAGAGCATGCTTTACTTCATAATTAGGAGAAATAATGTGGAAGGTATGGGAACTTCAAGCTCTTATACCTTCATCTTGTATCTTCATCCTGTTTTCCCCAACTCAGTGGGAAAGTCCTCCATCTTCAGATGATATTAATAGATTCACCTGTGGTTTGGATCCTCTTTCCATGTCTTCCAAGATCTGATTCCATCAACCACTTTACCTGGTCCAATCTGCACCTTCTACCCACCATCGCCACTCTCTCTTTTCCTTAAGAAAGCACACTCAAGTCTCTCCCATCTTTTTTTACACATACAATATTTTTTATCCATCAAACAACCTTTTAGCTGATTTTGCGTTTTTCTGTTTTCCTTTAGAGCCAAGCACCTGGAAGAAATAATCTAAATGTAAATGTCTCACTTATTACCTCCCATCTACTTTTCGATTATAATCTGACTTTTATTATTTATGAAACACAATTAGTTTCTATCCAATGCATTTCTAATGGATACTTTTTTACAACTTTTTAAAATTTACACTTTTTTTAGTACTCGCTCATTTTTTTTTTCCTTCTTAGATGTCTTATAAATGCCTAAAACTCAATGTGTCCAAATCTGGCTCATTGTCTTACCTCTATACCCATTTTATTTCCTATGTTCCCTCTCTTCATAAATAACCTAACCTTAATTCAATTACTGACCGAATTACTGATTAACCTTTCATCTGAACTCTTTGCCTCTGGTCTCACCTGTTCGTAGGCATAATGCTTCCAGAATTATCTTTCTAAACAAATATGACCCATGTCGTCCCTTATTTAAGTTCCTTCAGTGATTTCACATTGGACTTAAGGATTGAAGTCAAATTCCCCAGAATGAGATATATGGCTGTTTGTGACTTTCCTTCCTTCCTTCCTTCCTTCCTTCCTTCCTTCCTTCCTTCCTTCCTTTCTTTCTTTCTTTCTTTCTTTCTCTCTTTCTCTCTTTCTCTCTCTCTTTCTTTCTTTCTTAACCATTTTTGTTTTTTACCTCTCCATTCTTTCTCTAATATATATCCCATGTCATATTAATTGCAGGAGTCTCAAAGTGTCCTGTAATAGTACCCTTCCCTGTACTTGGAAAAGGTTTTCTCATATTTCCATTTGCATGGTTCTTAAAATCTCATCCCAAATGTGGCTTTTCTTTAGAGAAGTCCTAATGTCACCACCTTCCGTTGGCCCAAAGTAAGGTTAAGTCTCCCTGTTCATCACCAAAAGCATGCCTGTGTTGTAGGCCCTATGACAACAAGCCATAGACATTTCTGTATTTACTTGACATCTCTTTTAGTGATTTTTTTTTTTTTTTTTTTGGTGCTGAACAAAGGACTTCACACAAGGTAGGCAAATGCTATAACACTGAGCTACATCCTAACCCCGCTGTCATCTCTTTTAAAAAATGACAGGATGGTAGATGTTTTAACATACAAATAATTAGTGCCTGTGAACAAACATATTCAATTTTCTATCTTATCAGGACTTCAATAGATCATTCTAAGGAGATCAAAAGATTTACTTTTAAAATGCACTAGTTATCACAGTAGGCTAACAGTAGGCACAAACTTGAAAGTGTTTGCTAATACAAGACTAAAGCAAATAGCTGATGAAATGTTTCATGTCTTCTGTTTTAAATACATGACTTTGAGTTGGCTCACATTCTGTTCAATTTTACTTATTCACTTCCAAGCTCATTATTGTTTTTATCACTAAGAGTACAGAAATAAGTTGTGAAGTTCTTTAAGATAACAGTTTTTTAAAAATCCCCCTAATATTTAGAAATATTCATAAACATTTTAGGATTCATGGTAATTCAATTTATACAACTGAATGTTCAGACCTTATTGTATCTTTTTTCAGTAATGAGTGTAAAGTGAACTTATTACAAAGTATACTTGGCAAACTCTAATACCTACAGGAGCCAAACAGATAACATAAATGAATAAAGTGATACAGGTTCTGCTATAGGAAGTTAGGATGTGGTGGGCAGACTGGTTAGAGTTGGTGGGGATTTATTGCCCTCACCATCTACCCAAAACCATCTGTACTATTCTTTTTTTGTAGAAATTTGATTCTATCATTGACAAGGTATTTTGATTGGTTTCTGGACAAATCCATCTATAATTTTTTGATTTTAATATGGTATGTAAATTAAAGAAAACAGTTTGGCAGGCCAGATCTACTTAGGATATGAAGGATATCTCTTTTTTTTCTATTATATAGTAGGCCAATGAGAGAATAGAAAATTAACCAAAATCACATATTTGACAGATGTCGAGTAAGAAAAAATATTTATCATATAGATAAAGTCACTGATTTAACCAATCATTTACAGAAGTCTATCTGAGTGGTTGATTATGAAAAATTATGATCATGTAAATAAATTTTAAACCCAGATCTGTGCATATTTGAAAATAATTTATTTTTATAAACTTAAGATAATCGTCAATACAATATTTTCTTATGTTAATGACATTTTTGTAGGTCAAAGAATAATGGTATTAAATTGTGCTTTGAACTTCTTAGGGGGTGGTACTCACTTTGGCAACACATATACTAAAATTGAAATGACATAGGGAAGATTAGCATGGCCCCTGCACAAGAATGACAGGAAAATTTGTGAAGCATTCCATATTTTTTAAAAAATCTATGGAGTATGTGTATACACATATACTTTTACAATTATTTTTATTTTATTGTAGTAAGGACACATAACACTTAACATGAGATCTTAATAGATTATTTAAAAAGTACAACATAGTATTGTTGACTATGAGTGCAATGTTATAACCAGATTTCAAAATTATATTCATCTTGCATAACTGAAATTTTATACCAATTAACTAGCAACTCCTTATTTCCCCTTCCCAGAGCCCCTGGAAATCACCATTCCACTCTCTGCTTTTGTGAATTTGACTTTTTTAGATGCATCATGTAAATGTCATCATGCAATATGTGTCCTGTTACTGATTTGTTTCTTGCATAATGCCCTCAAAGCTCAATTATGCTATTCATATATTGCAGGATTTTCTTTTAAGATTGAATAATATTCCATTGTGTGTGTTATGCTTTTTTAATCCATCCATTGATGGCATTAGTTAGTTTCCACATCCAGAATATTGTTAATAGTACCACAATGAACATGTAAGTCCAAATATCTCTTTGAGATCATACTTTTCTTTATGGTATATATCCAGAAGTGGGATAAGCATGTGGTAGTTCAATAATTCTTCAAGGAACCCTCATACTGTTTTTTTCATGGTGCCTACACCATTTGCTTTCTACCAACAGGGTAGAAAGTTTCTGATATCTCCACATCCTTAGCAACATTTGTTTGATATTCTTGGTGTTGTCTCTATAATAGCTGTTTTAATGAGAGTAAAGTGATATCCCATAGTGCTTTAGATTTGCATTTCCCTGAGAGTAAATGACATTTAGCATCTTTTCACATATTGTCGTTCATTTGTATATTTTCTTTGGAGAAACATTAATTTGACACTGTAGCCCATTTTAAAAATCAAGTTATTCTTTTGTTACTGAATTGTAGGATTTCCTTGTATATTTTGAAAATTACTCCTTGTCAGATATATAGCTTACAAATATCTCCTTTTATCTATAGGTTGCTTTCTCACTCTTCACTATTTTCTTTGCTGTACAGAAGCTTTTCAGTTTGATGGAGTCCCACTTGTCTATTTTTACTTTTATTGGCTGTTTTTCCCCAATCTTTATTATTAATATAACAAATTTAATTAGTTTTATTGAGAGTCAGAAATATGCCAGATTCTGCTAGTGACCATAAATTAAAGAAAACAACCTCTATCTCAGGTTACAAGAATAAAATTTACTCTAATGAGGTAGACATTATAAATTTCTCTCTTGATACTGTTCTTGCTGCATCCCATGTATATTGTGTTTTCAGTTTTGTATGTCTCAAAGTGTTTTCTAATTTCTCTTTAGATTTTTTTCTGCAACCGATTGTTCCAAAGTGTATTGTTTAATATCTGCATATTTGTGAATTTTTCAGTTTTCCTTATGCTATTAATATCTAACTATATTCCATTGCAAGAGGAAAAGATAATTGGTTTGGAAATCATTTCAATCTTTAAAAATTCATTAACTCTTGTTTAATGGCCTGACATATATGTGGTCTGTTTTAGAGAATGTTCATTTAGGCTTTAGAAGAATTTGTATTCTGCTATTATTGGATAGAGTGTTTTCTACCTGCCTGCAAGTTCCAATTGTTCTATACTGTTGTCAAAGTCCTCTGTTTCCTTACTGATATTCTCTCTGGTTATTCTATTGGTAAGTGAAAATGTAGTATTGAGGTGTCCTGCTGCATTCCTGTCTGTTTCTGTCTTGTTCTGTCAGTGTTTACCTTATATATTTTGGTACTCCAATGTTGGGTATATGTATGTTTATAATTATTTAATTTTCCTGGTAAATTGACCTCTTGAGACAATTTTTGACTTACAGGTTTATTTGATTTTATTTTGATTTACATTTAATTTATTTTAATTTAGTCAGTACATCATTGTCATAAATAAATATTAATTAATAAATATGTTTAATAAAATATTCATTTTTACTTATTTTTATATAAAAATATAGTTTTTTGTATAAAAACACAATTTTTATTAGTTCTTTTGAGTTATATATGACAGCAGAATTCATTTTGATATAATCATATATGGAATATATCTTATTCCACTGAGCATCCCATTCTTATGTATGTACATGGTAGTGGGATTCGCTATATTGTTTTAATATATGCACATAGGAAACTATGTCAGATTTATTCTTCTGACTTTCCTTTGCTTATCCCCCTCCCTGCCCTCCACTCCCCATTCTCTACTGCACTTTTAGTCTTATCCTCACCTCCCCACTTTATTACTGGTTAGCTTCTACCTATTAGAGAAAACAGGTTTCTTTTACATAGTTACCCCCATTCCCTAACATGTGCCCTGAATGTCTCCTTCTAGCCCTTCATTGTCAGCCTATATGGGTCCTTAAATCTGACTTTCTTATAGACAACATGTATCTATGCCTTATTTTATCCATTCAGCCACTCTATGTCTTTTGGTTGATGAGTTTAATCCATTTATATTTCAAGTAATGACTAACAAGGATGAATTTACAGTTGTCACTTTGTTAATTGTGGTAAAATAGTGGTAAAATGTAAAATTGCTTTACATTGTGGTACTTTTGTCCCTCGTTTCTTCACTTGCTCCTTTTCTTGCTGATTTGTTGATTTGGGGGTTTATATGCATTGGTTCTTTTTTTTTTCTTTTTTATAATTCCTATAAACATTTTTCTGGCTATCATGAAACTTATATAAAATATCGTATACTTGTAAGTTTATTTTAAGCTTATAGCAACTTCAAATGCATATAAAAACTATGATTTTACTACTCATCCACACACTCTATTTTAATGATGTCACAATCTATTTATACTATCTATTAACATATTTTAGATGTATTATTTTAATGCCTTTGTCTTCTAACATTTATTCTGGAATTAAAAGTGATTTGCCCACTACCAATTCAGTAATGTAGTATTTTGTATGTGTCTACATATGCACATATATATTTTCTGTGTAGATGTTTATATGTGTACACACATGTAAATGTACATACGTATGAACATGAATGCTAGACATTTTTTATTATCATGTTGGTGTTTAGTATCCTTTGTTTAAAGATGAAGAATTCCTTTAGCTTTTCTCTTTTTTCATTTTTATTGATGCATTATAATTACACATAAGAGTGGGACTCATAAAAACCATATCATACATTTATATAACATAATTTAGCAATCTCATTCCCTGAAACCTCTTCATTTTTTTCCCTCCTCTCTATCCCTGCTCCCATTGCTGTACTCTGCTGGTATGCCTTGTATTATTATTTTAATTAGTGCATAAATATATATAGGTGTATACACACACATATATGATTCATTGTGGTATATTTGTATATTCTCTCTCCCACTCAATCCCCTTCCTCTCTTCTCTTGGTTTACCTTCTATTTTTGTGAGTCCTTTTTTATTCCTTTTTTACCCCTCTCCAGCTTCCACATATGAGAGAGAACATTTGACACTTGAATTTCACCATCTGGCTTATTTCTCTAGGTATGGTATTCTCCTGTTCCATTCATTTACCAGCAAACGGCATAATTTCATTCTTCTTTATGGTTGAGTAGAACTTCATTGTGTACATATACCACATTTTCTTTATCCACTCATCTGTTGACAGACACTTAGACTGAATCCATAATTTGGCATTGTGAATTGCACTACTGTAAACATTTGATTGCATCTACTGCTATAGTATGCTGATTTCAGTTCTTTTGGATAAAAACCAATCTTGGTATTATGGTCATATGGCGGTTCCGTTCTTAATCTTTTGAAGAATCTCTATACTGATTTCCAGGGAGGTGTTACTTATTTGCAGTCCCCAAAACAGTGTATAAGTGTACAATTTTCCTCATGTCCTTCCTAGAATTTATTGTCATTTGTATTCTAACTAGAGTGAAATAAAATCTCAGTGTACTTTTGATTTTTATTTCCCTGATTGCTAAGAATATTGAACAATTTTTTATATATTTGTTGGCTTTTTATATTTATTCTTTTAAAAAGTATCTATTCATATAATTTGCCAATTTATTGATTGGGTTATTTGGGGGTTTTTTGGCATTAAGATTTTGAGTTATTTATATATTCTGGATGTTAATCCCCTACCAAAAGACTGGCTGGCAAAGATTTCTTCCCATTCTGCAGGGTCTCTCCTCATGCTCTTGTTTCCTTTGTTGTGCAGAAGCTTTTTATTTTGTTGCCATCCACATATTATTAGTTCTTGGGTTTATTTCTTGAACTTTAGGAGTCTATTAATGATATTGATGCCTGTGCATCGTTGGAGAATTGACCCTAAGTTTTCTTCTAGCCCTTGACATGTTTCTTGTCTAATTCTCATTGAATTAATTGCTATGCAGGGTGAGAGATAGGGATATAGTTTAATTCTTCTAAATATGGATATCTAGTATTTTCAGAACCCTTTGTTTAAAATGCTATCTTTTCTTCTATGTATGCTTTTGGCACCTTTGTCAAAGATCAGACAAATTTATCTATCTAGATTTGTCCCTGTGTCTTCCATTCCATTCCATTGGCTTTATGTTTGTTTATATTGCCAATAATATCTTATTTTTATTACCATAGCCATGTAGTATAACTTCAGATCAGGTATTGTGATGTTTCCAGCGTTACTATTATTGCTTAGAATTGTTTTGGATAATTATTCTTCCATATGAATTTTTTTCTACTTCTATGAAGAATATCACTGGTATTTTGGTAGGGATTGCATTGAATCAGTAGATTGCTTTTGATAATATGGCCATTTTGACAATATTAGTTCTGCCTATTCAAAAACATGGGAGATGTTTCAGTCTTCTGAAGTCTTCTTCAATTTTCTTTTGTGGTGTTCTGTAAATTGCATTGTAGAGATTTTTTACCTTCTTGGTCTGATTATTCCCATTTTTGTTTTGTTTTGTTTTAGGCTACAGTGAATGGAATTCTTTTCCCAATTTCTTTCTTAGCAGGTTCGTTATTAGTGTATAGGAAGGTGCTTGTTTTTTGAATGTTAATCTTGCATACTATAACTTTGCTGAATTTCTTTATAAGCTCTAGAATCCTTCTGGTAGAGTTCTTTATAGGATCATATCATCAACTCACATAGTTTGACTTCTTCCTTTCCTATTTATATACCTTTATTTTCCTTCTCTTACCTAATTGCTCTACTTAGAGTTCCAAATACTATATTGAATAGGAGTGGTGATAGTGGACCTCCCTGTCTTGTTTCTGATTTTAGAGAACATGCTTTCAGTTTTTCCCCATTCTGCAATGATGTTGGCTTTGTGTTTGACATAGATAGCCTTAATGGTGTTGAGATCAGTTCTTTCTACCCCTAGTTTCTTCAAGTGTTTTTCACATAAATGGGTGCTGGATTTTGTTGAAGGTTTCTTCTTCATCTCAAAATTATTATGTGGCTTTTGTCCTTAATAATATTTCTGTAGTGAATTACATTTATTGACATGTATACATTGAACCAACTTTAAATCCCAGAGTTGAAACCAACTTGGTCATGATGTACAATCTTATTGTGTTTTTGAATGCAGATTGCTAATATTTTATTACATGCCTTTCTCTGTATGTTCATAATTGATATTGGTCTACAGCTTTCTTTCTTTGAGGTATCATTATCTGGTTTTGGTATCAGGGTGATACTCAGCTTCATAGAATGAATTTCCCTCTCTTTTTATTTCATGGAATAATTTGAGGAGAATTGCTATTAGTTCTTCCTTAAAGGTCTGGTAGAATTCAGCTGAGAATCCATGTAGTTCCAGGTTTTTCTTTTTTAGAAGGCTATTTATCACTGCTTCAGTCTCATTGCTTGATATTGGTCTGTTTAGGTTTCTATGTTCTATTGGTTCAATTGGGATAGGTCAGATATATCTAGAACTTTATCAATATCTTATAGATTTTCCAATTTATTGGAATGTAATTTTTCAATCCCAGTGACCCTCTGGATTTCAGGAATGTCTATGGCAGCGTCTCTATTTTCATCTCTAATTGTGTTGACTTGAGTCTTCTCTCATTTTCTTTTGGTTATTTTGGTTAAAGGTTTATTAATCTTGTTTATCTTTTCAAAAAACCAATATTTGCTACATCAATCATTTGCCTTTTTTATTCTTCATTTCATTAATTTTTGTTCTGATATTTATTGTTTCCTTTCTTCTTACTGTATGGAAATAATTTGTTTCTGCTTTTCTAGGTCATTGAGACATGATATTAGACTTTTATTTGAGAGGTATTGTTTGTTTCTTATGTAGGCACTTAGTGCTGTAAGCTTGCCTCTTAGAACTGCTTTCACAGTGTCCCAGATTTGGGTACCTTGTGTCACTATTCTTGTTTGACTCCAGGAATTTTTAAATTTCTCTTTCATGTCTTCTATGATCCATTCCTCATTCAAAACTATATTTTTCAGTCTCCATGTATTTATGTGATTTTCATAATTTTTCTTGCTGTTTATTTCCAACTTCATTCCATTTTGATCTGGCAAAATGCAAGGAACGCTATCATTTTTCTTTTGTATTTGTTCAAACTTGCTTTGTGGCCTAAAATATTGTATATTTTGGAGATGTTTCATGAACAACTGAGAAGAAAGTGAATTTAGCTATTGTTGGATGAAACAGTCTATAGATGTCAGAGCCATTTGATTTATGGTATTGTTTAGATCTTGAGTATTTTTACTAATTTTGTGTCTGGATGGCCTATCTATTGGAGGAAAAGTGTTTTGAAATTATTAGTATTATTGTGGTCAGAGTCCTATGTCAACAAGTGTTTTTGTTTGTTTGTGTTGATTTTATTAGATGCATCAATGTTTAAGGCATAAATATTTACTATCCTTTTATCTTCTTGTTGTATTTTTCCCCTTTACCAGTGTAAAGTGACCCTATTTGACCTTTCTAATTATTTTTTGCTTGGAATCTGCTTTGTTGAATATGAGAATAGCTGCTGCTGCTTGGTTTTGCACTCAATCCCTTCAATCCCTTGATCAGGAAAAATAGAAATATGGATGTATAGTCCAACCCTTTCTGTTCCCATTCACTCTGTGACAAGCAGAAGAGTTCCAGCAAGTATCCACAAACTAGTTCAAACTGCTAATTCTTCCTGATCTTATGGGATTATACTGAGTTGTGAATTATAAAGAAATGGGGTTTCCAATTTTCCTACTGGTTTCATTGTGGCTAATTTATTATTTACTTGGGGTATAGGTGCTTCTCAACAAGTTTCTGGGTTTCTCAAAAATGGAATTGATCTGTATAATGCTATTGAATCAGTGTGTTAGTGTATGGGAATTTATGGCTTCCTATTTTGTCATTTTGCTGATAATCTTATGTATCCTTTCTTAATACTTAGACTGCTCATCTTATATTTACTGAAGTTCTTCATTTATACTTGATATATAGTTTTAACATATAATCTTTATGCATGCCTTAAAGAAACACATAATTGAAATAAAAAGGTTGAATTATTTCTAACATGTAGAGTACAACTTTTCTGGGTTACTTTTAAATTCAGATTTTCATTGTCTATATTTTTTCACCAATTTTATCCTCTGTGCTGTGAAAAAAAAAGTTATAAATACAAGTTTCTGGGCAGGGGAGAAAAGCTCTTCTATTGGATATGAGAATTTATTGAAAACTGCTTTAACTTTCATTATTGGTGCTTTCTTGACCTCAGCAGGTGGTATCCCTAGATATTTTCAGATGGCAATGAACATTCATATTCCTTCCATGTTTTTAAAGTCATTTTCACACTTGGATATGCAATGTTGGCAGTTTTGCAGTCATATCATCAAAAAAGCCACCATGTTTACACAAGCTCAGGCTATGAAAGTAGTCCCATAACTGATTCATGGATAACAGCAATTTTAAGATGTCATTAAATGTTAGACGTATCCCAGTTTCTGAGATTAAAAAATATGAAAAGAAGAAAACAGCATCTTTGAATTGATGAAATACAGTTTACTTTCTTTGTCTATGGAGGACAGCAATCATTGTTATTATTGCTTAGATATTATTATCTTTCAAAATTATTTTTTACTGGGTTCTTTTATTTATTTTAGGCAGCATCAGAATAACTCCCACGGACTCTCGCTGGGTTGGTGCTTGGTGGCTTAGTTTCCTTATATCTGGACTCCTATCCATTATTTCTTCCATACCATTCTTTTTTCTACACAAAAATCCATATAAATCAAAGAAAGAAAGGAAAGTTTCAGCATCTTTGCATGTACTCAAAACAAATGAAGAAAGGACTCAAACAGCTAATTTGACCAACGGTGAGAAAAAGACTACTATAAATACAAATGGTAAGTATTTCACACCCCTTGTCAATTTGGAATTATTCATTTCAATGAAATGGAAGAGTGAATATTCCAAAGTAATAATTCATATCTAAATCATATGGAGTTATTTTTCTTGTACATCTAATCTAGCTAAGTTATTTTTCTAAACTCCTATTAAAATTAGTAAATACTTCCTGAGCATATGAAAAACTGAATAGGATCAGATTTGTGGCCATTAGCATGGAGATTACAGCCAAAGGCTAAAATATATGTTCTTTGTAAACCAAAGACAATATATTTATTTCAAATTATGTAGTGTAGCCTATGAGTAATAGATAAAATTTTTATACTATTTCATTAATGCACTCATTCATTTATTTAGCAAATGATTCTAAGCACTAGACTATGTCCTAGTGATTGGATATTGCCTCCATTTTCCAAAAATTTATAATTATTTTCAATAATTTACTTAATAATGAGAATTATTCAGACAATTGCATTAACAGCCTTAAGTACTTTGGTTTGGTTAAACTTAACTATTCTCAGGTGGAGACATGGAGTAAGGAGAAGGAACTTAGGAAAGATTTCTGACTGGTGATTAGACTAATTTTTTTTCTTGGTAATTGTATTAAAAATGCTCATTAAGATGTTAAAAAAATGAAGTAGAAACAGTAATAGTTGAAATCATTGGAGTCAGTAATATGAATTAGGATCTTCTACTATTTGATAACAAGTCTTCCCTTGGGGGCTTGTAGACAACCACAGAGAAGTAATAACCAAGAGAATGGTCCAACAGTCAAAGAAAAATAGTCGAAATAATGAAGTGTTGACAGCAATTTTCAGATTGGAAGGAAATGGTGAAATACTAAAATCCAAAACAACGAAATGCCTAAATCCTTGGACACCTTTTCAAATTGACATTGAAATGGAATTACAAATTCTCAAGGATAGCCCCAATTCTTTCTGTCATCAATTCTTCCACTTATCCATTTATTATTTCTTTCTTTCCATCACTCTGACCTAACAACAATGGTATGCTGGAGTCAGGTTGTGTTGGCTCATGAACCATTGTTAAATTTTCAACTACATTGGTAGCTTGAATTGGCCAAAGCAGGAGAATTTATCCATTGGAAATTGAGAAATACTACAAATCAGGCCTTACTTCCCAAAGTTCATTATTCATTATTATCCCAGCACACCTCTGAGCTAGAAGTTTTTGAAACTTAACAAGCACATTGACAGCATATCCAGAAAATTTTCATTTGCACAGGCTGCTTCTACTCTACCAGATCAAATCCATAAACATCCACAGATTGTCTAAACTTACAGAAACTAGGTTTGACTGCTTTCGCTCAAAAAAGAACAGAGAGGATAATAAAGCTGCCAAAATAGGACAATTATGGGGCTTGGTTTGTGGCTCAGTGGTAGAGTGCTCGCCCAGCACATGCGAGGCCCTGGGTTCAATCCTCAGTACTACATAAAAATAAAATAAAGGTATTGTGTCCAACTACAACTAAATATAAATAAATAAAAAATTTTAAAAATAGGACAATTACAGTCATCAGCAATAATTACGACTGTGTTTGCAGGATAGTGACCCAAATAGTTAAAGAGGACCTTAATTTTGTATCTAGCAGGAATAGAAGAAAAAACTAAAAATACAAGGTCAGAAGGAAAACTGTTGTATTTATTCTACATGTTCTTAAGTAGAACTAAGGTTGATTGATTTGAAGGAAAGAAAGCAAGATTTCAGTTCAAAGAAAACAGTGTGTAAAAATTGAGAACAGTCCCAAAGAAAACAATTGCTTTCTGAGGCAATCAGCTTAATGCCACTTGAATTACGTATTGATCCATTTATTAAAGATACTTATTGGATCATGATTGTGTGGAAGTTCAGTCAAGATGTCAACTATGTTCTCAGTCACCTCAAAATACAATTGATTTGATGAATTTATAGCCTCTGTTTCTTTTAATCAAAGGTCACAGCTCATTTAGAATGGCTCACAAATCAGTGATAGTCTTTCTGATCTGGGGAATGCTAAAGAGAGAAGTTTAGTATTTTGGCCTAATCATTTTAAATGCTGTTTATTCCTGGTTAAAAAAAAAAAAAATGCCCTCTTCTTTTTTCTTTGTGCCCTTTGCCATGATTCTCTTTTCTTCTTATAATAAGTATATAAAATTATTTTTTAGTTGACATTAGATGGAAATCTTAGTTCATATCAATGATCATATCCATTGGAAATCTTTAACACATAAAGGGCAAGGTCTTTTAAAGACCATGTCATCTATTTCTCAATAACAATGTCTGGTTTGGTCTTACTTGACTCTGAAACTTCCTATTGCTTTCCTATGTAGTTCTTTCTCCCTTTATCTACTGTTAACTGCTGGTTGACCTGGTAATCACAGATGTATATCCCATAAATTCTGCCATGGATAAGTTATAATTTTGTTACACACCTCATTGTATGCAGAAGTTGTGTGATTCCTGTCATAATGTCACGTGAGACACAACATCATTATATCCTGGTTCTCCTTGGATCTTTAGACACATGATTCATGTTCTTAAGTAGAACTAAGGTTCTATTTAAGATATTTCCAGATTTACTGAGTCAGTATTTTATGATAGAAAAGCTGTATACCAGGTAACAAGATGTCTGAATTCTCATACTAAATTGATATTTAATATTTTTGAACCTTACTTTTGTGAAGTTTTGGATTATGCTATCATTTAAATTTCTGTTGAATAATTAATGATATTGTTAATATAATGATTATATCATTAAATGCTGATAAATAAAAGACATTGCATGTATATTCTTACTTGAACACTTAATGTATTGGTTAGTACCTAACTGAATTGAAAACCAAATATTTGTTAAATGAACAAATAAATAAATATGTAATACATTGGTAAAGTGCCCAGAATAACCAAATATTAAGTTAACAAAGCAAGTTGCAAAAAAGCATGCATGTATGATTTAATTTTGGGCGTGGGGTAAAATGAACTAAACAAATAAATATTAATGTATGTTCTGGAAATATTGAAGGATTATGTTTTAAAAAATTGTTGAGGGCTGCAGATGAATCTCACTAGCAGAGTTCTTGTGTAGCATTATGAGGCTCTGGTTTTGATCTCAGGACCACCCAAAAACAAACAAATAACTTATGACAGTAGGATACCAGTCTACTGTTACTCATTTATTATGTGTTTAAGTAATGTTCAATCTTATATAGTATAAAAGATTAGTATATATTTAAGTTGTATTGTAATATTTTCTTTATTTTCATAATTTTAAGGTTTTTTCCAGTCTTTGAAAATCCTCCTTACCAATCACCTCTATGTTATATTCTTGATTTTGACATTGCTACAGATAAGTGGCTTTATTGGTTTTTTTACTTATGTATTCAAATACACAGAGCAACAATATGGTCAGTCAGCATCTCAGGCTAATATTTTGTTGGGTAAGACATATTTTTTACCTATTTGCTTGATGGATTGTGTACTACTAATCAGTGTATTTCAAGTGACATTTTATTGTGAATGTAACTTTATATTTTAGTAAATAATTTCTATTTATTCTCTCTCAAACTTTATTAAATTTGTTAATCTGATATCTTTACTTTATTGCACTAAAAGTTGCATCTCATGTTATATAGCTCCTAAAGGAAAAGGTGTATATAAATGGAACATTTAGACATGGTACCTGAATAATTAGATCTTGTAATTTTGTGATGAGATATTGAGACAAACCATTTTGTAGCACAATCATATAGTCTGTAATTTATGGACTCTGAAATCAGGATTTAATTACTTATAAAAACCAGGACATTGATGGTTCCAAAAGGAGAAACAATTTAAATGCACCACCAAAATATGCACAATTCAAAATAAATATCATATTTTAAAGAGTATTTTCTGTTTATCTATTTTCAGTGACCTATAAGACCTACTTGCTGAGGAAATGTTTTCTAATATTATTCTTTCCACAACTCCAGTATTGTGAAAACATTGTAGATATTAAGTAGTTGTTTGATGAATTTAAAATTTATCAAGTGGTATGAAACTGGATCATAAGTAACAAAGAAAATGATGATTTGAAAATGAATTCCCCAAAGCATTGTAAATGCTGTTAAGTTTTGACTCCCAGTAACCTAAACTAAACTTTTTGTTGAAGGAGTCTTCATCTTAAATAACTTGTACAGGACAATGGAATGGAAAAGTTAGAAGAGGGATCAACCATTTTTAATACTATATATAATAGACCTACCTATTTATTCATGGGTTTTATGAATAGATAAGATATTAATTTCAGTATTTAATTCTAAATCACTGGGAAATATTGGAGTGGGTTTTGAGGGCTAGAATTCTTCATTCTGTAAGATGTAAAGGATTTTAGATGATAGGATCAAAGTTTCACAAGCAGAAAAATGGTATATTGTTATTGTTTTCTGGGGGTGGGGGAAGTCCCTCAGAAATTCTCAGTTCAGACACACAAATATTATCAATCATTGCTTTTTAATACTGAGGAGACCAAATCCTCATCTTTGGCAGGAAACAATTATTTTTGTCTCTCCCAAATGATAAACTTGCCCTCTCTTTCCATTTTGCCTGTTACCCTTCCCCTTAAGAAGTAATGGGATGGATGAATTTGGTTGATATACAATGTGTTTCATATATAGAGACATATTAAAAACGTATTTATGTAATTATAATTTTTCTTTTATTTCTAGGACTCCTAACCTTACCAGCTATGGCAACAGGAATGTTTTTAGGAGGATATATCATTAAAAAACTCAAATTGACCTTGATTGGAATTGCCAAATTTTCATTTTTTACTTATTTCATGTCTTTCTTGTTTTTTCTGTTAAAATTTGGTCTACTTTGTGAAAACAAATCAATTGCCGGCCTAACCTTGACCTATGATGGGTTTGTATATATCACTATATCAACTGCATAATGTGTTAACTATCCAATGAAAAGACTGAGAAAAATAGAGAAGAAAGAAGTTTTAAACCTTTTTTTAGTTGAGAGAAATTTCAACTTAGAAATTCTTAAAATGTATATTTCTTAAGATATTTCTTAAAGAAAAACTATATAGGTTGTAATTATAATAATTATTATAATTTACGGGATACTTACTATGCAGGATGGATACTTTTATTTCCATTTTTATAGATGTGGAAAGTAAGGCTTGGAGACATACAGATTATATGACTAGCAATGTCTTAACTTGATCTCACTTACTCTCACTGGGTCAAATTTGAGGAGTTTTGGCTCCAAAATAGTTAGTCTTAACCACTACCAACTTGGATGGATTGTGAGTATAATACAAATGACATTCTCCAAAAGTGACTTAACAACCTTTATCTACATTACATTTTGATGTTCAACAAACTGAAAAAGAAAACACTTCTTTACATTGTACTGAATTCTTGCTTTCTGTAAGCTGAAACTGTCTTCTGGTGGTGTTTTCATTCTAAGTAGAATTACTAGATATCCTGCATATAATTGCATATTAAATGTTGGAGAACCTTTGCTATTATTATCATACTATGTCAAGTATTCTTAGTACTTCAGCCCACTCCAACTCAGGAGAAAAATTCCTATGCAGACTTACCATCTCATGAATGTAGCTAACAATTTAAGATTAGAAAGGTTCACATCCAAGCAGCAAAGATCCTTGGATCATAGTTGAGTAACCATGCACATTAGTGCTACTTACTGTTGGTTCTGAGTTTTCAAAGTCCGGATCTCTGAAGTGCCAATTTTAATTCATCAAATTTTTCCATGTTTCCTTACCTAAACATCATACCATTCTAGGAGGCTTGGCAAAATTATCTTGAATTATATTTCTACCTGCTCCTAATCTTGACTGCCAATCGTTCCCATCCACCAATACCTACTATTATGGCAAATCAAAATACAGTGCACCTAGAGCTTTGAATTTCAAAAGTAAAGGAAATTTATGGATCATGCAATCAAACCTGCTTTTATCTCTTCCTTTATTGTGACCTAGAGAAACTGTTCCTTGCTTGGAGTCACACAACAACCTCAGACTGACTGTACATTACACCTGTAGGTCCCAGGGATCCCTGGTTGTGAGGACAGGCTTTAGCCTAAAGCCAGTTTAATGGAGCAAGTGTAGTCATGTGTTGTCTAAGTATAGTCAAATATAAGTTTTTAGAAATGTGTCATTGGTCTATTTTATCATTGTGTAAACACAGTCCAAGACACTCGTAGCATCGCTAGGTGGTAAAATCATGTACCACCTTCGTCTGTGTAGTCCATTGTTGACTAAAACATCACCGAGCAGGACAGGACTGCACAGTAAAGTTAGTATTTGAAAGATGGCAGTGTTCTCCATAAGTTTGTTGATTGCCTCCTTTAAAATGAATATCCTCAATTATTATCAAGATTTTTATAAAAACAAAAGAGTAATTTCTAAAATCTGTAAGTAGAAAATCAACTATATAAATATGTATTTTAAAACTTTAGTCATGTTATACAATTACATTTTATAATTTATACCTTATTATATATTAAATTATAAAGCACGTTATAACTTCATTTTAAAAATATATGGAGCTTTTCTAGTCTTTCACAACTGATTTTATTATTTTTCTTACTTTTCAAAATTGATCCTTACTGGTTTTGCTTTGACCACAAAGAATTCTTCCCTTATAAAGTTAAAACATAGATTTTCTTTAAAAAGTTCAACCTACTTAAATAACATGTATGGAGTCATGTGACTTTTTACAGTGAGCCGGGAGGAATCTCAGTTTAATGCCATTATCTTACTGAAGAAAAATCAAGTTTCAGGAAAAAGAAATGATTCATCTAATGTGAAATTTCCTGATTGGAATACCAAGATTTTTTGCCTAAGTATTTTTTTGCCACATATTCTTTCTGGTTTCTTTTTTAAGTTTTACTTTTTCTAGGTCATAAATCATGTCTTGATAGAGATGGAGGGTGAAAAAGTGAATGAGCATTAAAACAACAACAGCAACAACTTTGCTGCTTTGGCATAGTCCCTTTAACTCTCTCCAACTTAAAAAAAAAAAAGGAAAAGAAAGCCTCACTCTCTAATTTCTTTTTTCTTATTCTTTTTCCTCCTTTGTCTTCTCTGCCACTTCCCTTCCCCTCCTCCTCATCTTCTTTACTTCCTCCTCCTTCCTCCTCTTCTTTTCTCTCTCTTTCTGATATGTGTCTATCATGTATTTCCAGAATTAATCCAGTGGCATCTCATGTAGATGTACCACATTCTTATTGCAACTCAGACTGCAATTGTGATGAAGATCAATGGGAACCCATCTGTGGGGACAATGGAATAACTTACATTTCACCTTGTCTAGCAGGATGCACATCTTCAAGTGGCCAGAAAAAGTCTATAGTGAGTATTAATTTTTAACTTTCTCTCCTAATCTTAAACAAAATCACAGATTAGACTTAATAAAAGATATAAGAAAAAGATTCCAGTATTATCTGTCTTTCTGATGCCTGTGTGAACAAAACTTCATATACAATCCTGCTTGGAACACAATCAGCGTTATATGTTATGTGAACTCTAACTGGAGATTACCTTACTGTTTTTGCCTTGAGATTGTAAGAATATGACCTTTCTGGAATATGAATGCATTTAGGGTCCCTAGGAAGCATCTCATTTTACTGAAGCAATGATTTCTGTTAAGTTAGAATTACTTTACTTTTCAGAAGTTAGGGGAAAGTCCTGAGCAGCTCATTTTTCAGCATTACCTGCATTACTAGAACAATAATCTCTATACAATTTTGTATATAGATTCTGATGAGTCTAACTCTGGACTCACTATCCTTATGACTTTCCAAGAAATAATCATGGTTTCATGCTCATTGATTGCCCATTTCTTATCTTCTAATTAGGAGTTCCCCCAAAACCAAAGGCTCAAAACATTCCCTTCCATGTGAGCTATGGGTTCTGCCCAGCTCCCTGGGCGATTCCTCAATAATTGGAGATCATTTGTGAAATTTCTCATACCTCCAATCTACTCAACATCTTACCAATATGAAGAATCATCTCCTGGGCCCTTTTCTTATCACCAACATAAGCAATATAACCAACTATGATCATTGCTTTCTGCCATATCTGTGGCTGATTTTCAATTTTTTTCACCATTCTCTTACTTACAATTCTAATTACATGATGGAAAGGCATGAAAAACTTTGAAGAATTAAGCACCCTAGATTCACTGAAGCTGGGCACAACTTAAGAAACTTGGACAAATATGGCTCAAAGACCATCCTTAAAATCCTACATTTCACATTTGTGGCTACAGTGCCTTTCACTGAGAGGGCACCCATTGAACCCATGGTCTTATTTTGTGCATTTGGTAAAGCCTGGAGAAGGCATATTAGAAAACTCAAGAGAGTTCTGTCTACCTACCATGGTCACATTATCTTCCCTTTTAAAAATTACTACCAAGGTCTTCTCCTAATTTCTTAGTAATAATAACACCTCTCTCTTTACTTTTAATTAACTTTTTATTTTAGAAGAGTTTTTTATTTGCCCCATCTCTTCTGAAGTAAGGATATTTATATCAAAGTTTTGTTTCATTGGCTAATATAGTTGCTCAGTAGAGGAGTCCTCCAATTTTATTCCTAGTTGAAAAACAAGTAACAAAGTAAAAACCCAGGAAAGTAAAGCTTGTTGAATCATGCAAGTATGGATTCAAATTATTCCTCAGTTCTTCCTTTAGTAATTGAACTTAGCAGTAGATTCAAGGTTAACTTCTTTTAAACTTTAGTTTAGCCTAGAATCAGAAAGAATTTTTTAAAGCAACCTGTCTATGAAAATGACTTGCATGATCAAATTTCTAAAATCATATATTTCTAAGCATTCCCTTTCTGTGCTCCAGCTGTTAGGACATTCCATTGTGTTGAATCTTTCTGGCCATAATATCTTCTATTTTATTATCTGTCACTATACTTTTGGATGTCAATTTTGCTTATCAAAACAGAATTTCAGCACCCCTGCCTGGCTTCATTTCCCTTGGGCTTTTCTCATTCTTATGGGTAACTCTAGTTTCAATTTTGGGCCCCTCCAAAAACTATTACATTTCTATATTCTCTAGCGTAATCCTTTTATCAGGGACACTTTGTAGATATTGTCAAAGAGAATGAGTAGTCATAGAAAGTAAAATTGGGCAAAAGAGAAGTATTTGGAAAAATGTGTATAAATGATGAAATTGTATACAGAGAAAAGTATATACAGGAACTTATATACAGAGTTTCAAGCATTTATTTCTTCAATTATTTCCTAACTTTAAAATTAGAAATGAATTGTTTTAACTGTGAATTGCATTTTCTTATCTAGAAAAAATTCCAGGAAACTATTTTGACTGTATTCTGCAACTGTATTTTAGAATTTTTTTAAAATGGTAAATATTTTAGTTTGAATGGATAAGATCTCTTTAAATATAATGAAAGGCATCTATAGCATTGCCATATTTTAAAAATGTTTTCTGTAATGTTTCAAAACTGTTTTTTTAGGTCTTTCATAACTGTACTTGTATAGAAGGGTCTAATTTCCAGAACACAAATTATTCAGCCCGTTTGGGTGAATGCCCAAGAGATGATAATTGTAAAAAAAAATATTACTTCTATTTAACTGCACAAGTCGTAAGTTCTGTTTGCAATGCATTGGGATCCGCCTCATTTGTCATGCTGCTTGTGAAGTGAGTATGACTTTTTGAACCACTTTCGTATATACTGCACTATAAAGACACCTAATGATATACATATTTTTCATAATGTATCTGGGACCCAAGTTCATATCTTGTTACTTAATTATTCAATAATGCATATTCTTTAGGATTATTGTGATAATTTGATGCTGTAATTAATAATGATTTTGTCTCTGATTCTTCTGACATCTAGATTCCATATTTTCTCCTCTTGCTAAGAATATTAAGACAGAATTATTGACTTTCACTTCAATTGTAAAAGAATCTTTCTAGATTCTAAAAGAATTCTTCATTTTACATTACCTTGTATCCTAGTAGGCCTGTCAGTGTGAATCATCTATTGATTTCATTGAAAGAAAACATTTGGGCACCAGATAGATTTAAGCATCTGGTAGTAACATGCCAAACCTAATTGACTGTGGCTGCTGTAGAAAGAATAATTTTAGGGAGGCAAGAAACAATAAGTGATAAAAGAAGGCTATGCCAGCTGTCCACAAGGTGGGGGTTCATTGATGATGGTGATGGTAAAGGAAGTGGCAAGTGAAAAGTTTGAAATTCAGTCATTTTTTTCTTTTTCTCTTTCCTTCTTTGTTTCTTTGTTCCTTCCTTTGCTTTCTTATTTTTTTTTTTTTTTTGGCCAAGGCAAATGGAATTGGATGATAAGTTGGATGTAACATATGAGATAGAGAATTTGAGGATGATTTCAAGGTTCTGGTCCAATATCTGGGAGGCCCATAGTACTACTGGGCAGAAAGTAAAGACTTGGAAGTGTAAAGAAATCAAAAACTGCAAAGAAACCTAAAGGAGACAGAAGTAAGATTCAGAGGCAGAAGGGCAGAATGTCTCCTTGTCCAAGCTGCCGGCTTCATTTATATCAATAGGTTACATTAGGCCACTGGCATTAGTAGTACATTATTGTTCATTATGTCTTTAGGCAGGTTATAGAGTTAGCAACATTATGCAGCTTATTCCTCAGTTACATACTATAGTTTCAATGTGCACATGTTAGGAGCTTTGTGTAGCTCTCAAGAAAGTCCATCGTTTAAAGCTACTATTATGTGGACAGCTTCAGGTGCCGCAGAACTTGGTGAAGCATTGTGGTTGTCTAACAAGAGAGTTTCTTTATTCCAAGGAGCTCTGTGCCTGAGATCAAGGTTGAGGCTCATAAGACTCTAGCACAGAGCCTCCTCATGCAGGGCATTGATATAGCACTAGGCATTGCACATGTATTAGTTATCTTACTAGTTCCTGGAAAAAACTGCAGAATATTCCAATTGTGGGAAAGAAAATGTCTTATTATTTTATTATTCCTTGAAAGTTTTCTCACCAGAGGAAATTCACTGTCTTGTACATTTCCACTGTCAGAACCCTTACAAGAGAGGAACAGGTTGGAGGAAGTGGAGAAGCAAGGACCTATTCTATCTCTATAAATCTGAGAAACCTGTGAGATATCTAGTGATAGCATTGCATATATAATCTGACATAGAGAAAATAATAAAACACTGGAATCAGAGGCATATTTTTTGGAAGCAGGAACATACAGATGATATTTAAAACTATGACAGTGCTGAGATCTTTCTATTTGAACTCAGAAAGAAAGAAGATCCTAACACCAAGACCCAGGAATTCTAACTTCAGAGATTAAGAACAGGAAGAGAAACCAGTGAAGGAAACTGAGAAAGAAGTTTTATGGGGCATTAGAAACACTAAGAGAGGGCCATGACCCAGAAGCCAGATGAAGAAAGTATTAAGAAGGAGTGTGTGAGCTACTGTGTCCAGGGCTGCTGAGAAATCATAGAGTTAGGGACTAGGAAGTGACCCTTGTATTTCATGATGTGCTGGTAACTGTTAGCCTTAACAAAAATAGTTTATGAAAATAGGAGGATTAAAGGCTGTTTTAAAAAGCATCAAGAGAAAATGCAAGAAAGGAAAATGTACTTAGCCAGTAGAGAAAACTCTTTTAAGAGCAGTGTTATTAAAAAAAAAAAAGCAGAAAAAAGATGTGGTAGACAGCAAGGCTGTGACACCAAGAGTTCTGTTTATGTTTAAAGCTAGATATAATAACATGATTGCATGCTGATGACATTTACCAGATAGAGGAGAAGGAAGCTGATAACACAGGAAAGAGAACTTTTACAGAAGAAAGAAGAAGGAAATATGAACAAGAACACCATTTTACTCTGTAATAGAAGGGAAGATAGTCCATGTTGGTAAAGGCAAGTAAATACGTAGTCTTAGTTATGTAAAAATACTAGAATCTTTTTCTAGAATCCTTTTTCTGAAATACTAGAATCCTTTTTCTGAAATAAAAATCAAGGTAATCAGCTGAGCATGAAGAAGAAAAAGTTTGAGATAAGATCAGGAAATGTGAGTGAATAGTCTTGAAGACTGGGAGAAAAAAACAATACATCTGAGAAAATAAACACGTAAAATATAATAGGATTGTATGGGGACACCACCAGGGATTTGTGCTTATGAATTTAAAATTAGCCAAGCCAGTATTTTTTGAATGATTTCCTCCAAACAGCGCAATAGGAAAGGCAGAGGGTAAATGAAAATATTTTTGATTATACAACAAAGAATGAGAGGAACAAAAATGTCCAGCGTGTATGCAAAGGAAACATCATGGTGAGGAAGGAAGTGAAGAGGTGAAAATGGAGACTGTCCATGAAACCATTGGGGGAGTCAAGATTCTGAAGAGTCCAGTGGGGTTCAGGCTGTTTGGGGATAGTATATTACATGGAGTGAATTTAAAATATGGGGGTAGTTATGAGGAGAGGGATGCTCAGAATGGGGAATTAGAAAAGTGTGTACTGATTGGTCTGATTCTAGGGTGGAGGAGACAGGTAAGATCTGGAAGAGAAGAGGTCAAGAAAGTGGAAGATTATTGGGAAGACTGTGTGTGGATATGAAAATAACTAGTAAAGTGGCAGAGAGTTTTAGAAAAAATGAAAGAGAACCTAAAACTAAAATTGTCAAGGAATGATGGGAGTGGTGGTGTGCAAGTCAATTGATACCTTCAACAAGGAGGTTTGGGAATCCGATGTTAGGATATCACAGCTTTTTAGGAGAGCTAGATGGCTTTCAGAGGAGATAGTTGGATCTGAAAGGGGTAAAAAGCACGAGAAGGACACATACATTTCAAGCCCAGCCATACACAAGGTGTGGGAGAAAAACAACCACCTCTTGGAAAGAGAGTCACAGGGAGACAGCAGGCTTTCTTTAGAACAAGAAAGTGGAAGGACTGTGAAGAACGTTAGATCTAACCATTTTGCTAGTGATAGACTACAAATTCCAGTGGGCAAAATGGAAAGACTTAAGTGGTGAAAAAGAAGTAGGATAATGGATGGGATTACAGGCGAAAAGGTGAGAGTCATGATACCTAAAAAAGATCCAAATTTTGGGGATTCTACTGGTAACCCACGGATGTGAGGCATCATGTAATCTTATGACTAACTAAATATTAACTCTAAATGGCCCAAAAGAGGGCAGTGGGTTTTTTTTATTTATTTATTTTTTTTTAGTTGTTGATGGACTTTTATTTTATTCATTATTTATATGCAGTGCTGAGACTCAGACCCAGTGCCTCACACATGTGAGGTAAGCATGCTACCACTGAGCCACCACCCCAGCCTGAGGGTAGAGTTTTTTTTTTTTAACATATATATAAGTGATTTGGATTTGTTTAGGAATAAGCAGAGCTTTGCTTCAATCTTTTGCATACAGGGAGACAAGCATTCCTTATGCTATCTATTGATAGAGTTTTTAGGTCTTACTGATAATCATCTCCAAAAACAATAAATCCTGATGACTGACTGTTAGTAGAACAAAGAGGATCAATTCAAATTGTATTTGTTGTATGTAGAAGACATTCTTCAATCTTTAAATAAAAATAACATATTTAGCTTCTTGGGGTGTTTTCTTGAGAATTCATCCTAAGAGAGGCCCATCAAAATACTGAGATGTTCAACATCAGATATGAGGTCACACTGCAGTGACAAATGCTTTACATGATAATGATGTGAGCATGTGAATATGAGCTTGGGGACAGGGAACATCACTATGTGGCTAGGTGTCAGTGTACATGCCTGTGAATGTAGGACTGTGTGATTGATTGTTATATGCATGTCAATATATCACAGACATTTATCATTTTCACTGAATTGTTGGAGCTTTCAAGCCCTTTTTTAGAAAAATATTATCCCTATGTGTAAGTCATCCCAATTCTGCATGCTCATTCTCTACCTGGGTGAAATTCTAAGTTGATAAAACTTATCATTTTGCCTCTTGTGTTTCTATGTGTGATCTAAGTACACCCTTTGAAAATCAACTATAGTGGGAAAAGGCAGTTCAGGCACTTATCAGACACCTAAGGCAGGAATAAACTGCAATTTCTCCCTTGAGAAATCTTATATTCGAGAGAGACATTTCAATGGACAAGTTAACTTCCCCTTCCTGGGGACTTTTTCTTCTCCCTTATGCATGAAAACACCTCCTTGAATAATAGGCATAGCTTCCATACCCACAGGAGAACTAGCAAAGCATCGCTGCTCTTTTTATCATAGCCAAAGTAATTAAAAGTTATTTTTCCTAGTATATATGTTTGATATGTGTTTTGTGTTATGCTATATTTAATTTAATTTTTGCACTGTTTAACTTTATAAGTTCTTGCAAATACTTTTTTTTTTCTTTAATATGAGGTTTTACTATATTGCCCAGGCTGGTCTTCATCTCCTGGGCTCAAGCAATGCTCCTGCCCCAACCTCCTGAGCAGATACGACTATAGGTGTATGCCACTACACCCAGTTTTCTCTAATACTTTGAGAAGCTCAACAAATAGTAGCTCTCTCGTATGGATTAAGAGGACAGTATATGTGAAAAAAATTGAGGTTCAAAGGGCTAGTTCATTGTATTACAAGATTCTCACAGCACATAAGCACTATTATCCAAAAGAAAGGTTAAATGATTTCTCCAGGTTACTTAGTTGACATGAAATATCATTTATCTCTCTATTCTCCTGAACAAGTACTACTAACGTGACATCCCTGGGAGGTGCTTAATGTTTGTTAAATGATCATGTCTACTTAGCTCTTGGAACAAATAACTCAAGGCAAAGAATTCAATTTTTTATTATTCAATTCAATATTTCAGTTAAAAGTGGGATTTTTGAAATATCCTCACTTCTCCCAACTCAGCCCACCACTTAGTGCTGTCTTATTTAATGTATATTATGTTATCATGGATGATGGTATCAACAGCTCACTGAACACAGATCAATGGAATTGTGGAAATAACTTTCTAAACGCAAGAGCAAGTGAAATTCTAACCTAGGATACAAATGTTCCCTCTGCTTTTAAGATGATAGTTAAATACACTAGACACTGGAATACAGATAATTTTTTTTACTCTTCTGGCTGCATACATAATTTGTGAAATATATTAGTAAAATTTTCTGTTAATATTAATGACATAAATAAGAGGCAAAAGAGGTCTCCTACTTATACCCAGGTAACCTAGATAAAAGGATCTGCTCTTTTCCTCTGGGCTGTGTTGACTGAATAGACCCTGTTAAAGATCGTCTTCGTGGGCATCCTAATGTTACTTTTACTACCACTTTCTCACAGGAATTTCATAAGGATTGAATGTAAAACTGTTTGACAAACTGTCTTCAAGTCATAAAATATTAAATAATTAGGGAATAACAATTATTATCACCTAGGAGTTTGCCTTAAAAGATTGAAAATATAATAGTACATGATATAAATAGGGCCATTCACTTGAGGGTTTTCATTTAACTGTGAAGAAAACTGCACTGAGAAACATTTATATTGAACTCAATTTGGTATTTTAAAGATTTTAATGTTTCTTTGTCTTTATCTTATTTCAGAAATGTTCCACCTGAATTGAAATCACTTGCAATGGGTTGCCATTCACTGATTATACGAACACTAGGTATGAGAAATATATTAAATTCAGAATTTGTGTAAAAATTCAAAAACTGAAAGTAATTAATTTGCAATTATAAGAAAGTAGGACTCATTTCTATTTTTGTGGTAAATTAAAAGACTAAGAGATAGAGGAAAGCCAAATGATCTAAATGATAAATTGATTACTGATTCTAGTTAAAGTTAATCTGTTAAGAACAAGGAGTTACATTTGTTTCGCACAGTATGAAACAAAGGTAAGCAGTTCCCAAAGCTTTGCTGCCTAGAAATATTTCTTCCAGGTAGGCAGAGTGGAGGATCTTTCTTCTAAATATGATATAGGTAATGCCTAAAGCAACTTAAGAGTTCTGGGAATTTGGCTAAGCTGAATTTGTGTGAAACAACAGAAATTCACATTAATTGTATAGGTCTGTAAGGCTGGGCAGCCAGCTTTGACCAGATGTTAAAAATCCAAAAGGGAATGAACTCAGACTCTAAAATTGGAAAATCAATTCTGTTTCCACTGTTTCAGCAGTTTTTGCCTAAGAAAAATTACATATGAACCAACATTACTAACAACCTCTCTCCTTTATCAGATATCAGTTGATTGATATTATAAGAACAGTTTGCAGATGGATAATGTTCCTTCTTTTTTATTGTATGTTGGGAGGGTGAGGGCAGATAAAAGATGTCTACTATGTTACTTTATAGTGTGACTCTTTGAGATTCCTAATAAAATCTTGATTCTTGCATATATTTAGACCAAATTGATGGAAGAGTCCTACAATATTTTTTAACGTTTACTTAGTCCAAAATGAATCAATGTAGAGTACCATATAGCTACATTTGAAATGTATTCCTTGAATTGATAGCTTCTCATATGATGTTGCAGGAGGAATGTTAGCTCCAGTATATTTTGGGGCCCTGATTGATAAAACATGTTTGAAGTGGTCCATCAACAGCTGTGGAGCACAAGGGAGCTGTAGGGTATATAATTCTGTATTATTTGGGTAAGTTGTCATATATATATATTTCATGACTTTTCCTTTGACTATATTAGTATGTAATTTTCAGTATATTAATAAATTAATAATTAAATGAACCATAATTTAATGAACACTTACATTGTCTTCTATATTGTATCAGCCAACCTAGTTTGTCTTTTTAATGTTCATAAGAACTGTAGGAAATTGATGTTTTATATTTTTACCCTTAAATATGAAGAATTTAAGATTCGAGAGTAAAAAGTAACATGTCCAAAAGATAAGATTTTTGCATATGTTTTGTTATTTAAAAATCTTTTTTGGGGGAAAATATGTATTTCATTGTATTTGGATTCTGTAGGAAGACATATAATGGAGAACTGGGGTTCTGTTCATGCCTAGGGGGGAAAAAGAGGAAAAATGTCTCTATAGTCTTCTATACATTGGGAGAGAAATTTTGTAAGTGCTATAAGAAAAAAACTGGAATGATAATGTGGGAAAAAACCTTGCAATTATATCTTTATGTTTTTCATATTTTTAGTTGTACATGGACACCATAACTTTATTTTATTTATTTTTATTTTTATTTTTTTGTGGTGATGAGGATCGAACCCAGTGCTGCATGTGTGCTAGGCAAACGCTCTACCACTGAACCACAAACCCAGTCCCTTGCAATGATATCTTAAGCCTTAAATAAAATTAGTTGCAAATTTACATATTGTCTAATTAAAAACTACAAGTATTAGAAGAACTCATTGTAATTTACGTTAAAATTATATGTGAAGCTGGAGTATGTCCTAAGTATGACCCAAACTTCAAAAACCATAAGAGAAAAAAAGATGAAATATTTTTAAAACTCTGCATAAGAAAACTTATTTTAGCAAAGTTCAAAGAAAAAAAGATTAATTTTTAAAAAATTGCAACTTGTAACAAAGACACAAGAAAATGACCTAAATATATAAAGAGTTCTTAAAACCATTATTTGTGCCTACATTTATTATTTCTTTTTTGGATGTTCAGTTGGTCCAGTACTATTTGTTGAAAAGACTGTCTTCATTCTATTATAATGCCTTTGCTCCTTTGTTAAAGATCAGTTGTCCTTTTCTGAGTTCTCTATTCCTTTGATTTATCTATTCTTTCACCAGTACCACACTGTCTTGATTCCTGTAGCTTTATGGTAAGTCTTGAAGTCAGGTATTGTCAGCCCTACAACTTTGTTCTTCAGTATTGTTTTGACTATTCTGGGTTTTTGCCCCTCTACAAATTTAGAAATTAATTTGTTGACATCCACAAAGTAGTTCACTGGGAATTTGATTGGTTTGTCTTGAGTCTATGGAACAAATCGGGAGAATTAGGCATCTTGACAATATTGAGCGTTCTTGTACAAGAACATAGGATATCTCCCCATTTATTTAGTTCATCTATTTCCTTCATTAAGGTTTTATAGTTTTCTTCATACAGATTTTTTTATACACTTCATTAGGTTTGCACTAGTATTTCATTTTGGAACTGCTTATATAAGTGGTAACATGTTTTAAATTTCTAACATGGTATGTAGAAAAATATTGGCATATTAATGATGTATCCTATAACCTTACTATAATCATTTATTACTTCAGGAGAGTTTATATCTATTCTTTAAGACTTTCTACATAAATAACCATGTCATCTCAAATATTTTTTTTCTTTCTCCTCAATCTGTATACATTTTATTTGCTGCTTTTGTTTTGTTTGGTTTGTTTATATTAACTAGACCTTCCAATATAAGATTGAAAAGCAGTGGAGAGGGAACTCACTTTCCTTATTCCTGACTCAGTGGAAAGCTTTCATTCATTTTGCTTACATACAAGCATGCATGAGCATATGTATGCATGTATATATTCCATATAAAATCAAATACATTGTTTCTACCATTTTGAATAAGCTGTTATCTGTTAGATCAATTAAGAATAAGAAAAAGAAAAAAATTTTTCTTTTACTTTCATTTTTTTCTGATGCTCTTTCTTTCTTTTATCTACCCAAGTTTCTGATCTTTAGATATGCCTTGACTTACAATGGAGTTCATTGTAAATTGAAAATATTGTAAGTTGCAAATGCATTTAATACATCTTATCCAATATCCAAGACATCATAGCTTAGCCCAGCTTACCTTAAAGGTTCTGAGAACACTTACATTAGCCTACAGATGAGCAGAATTATTTATTACCGAACCCATTTTATATAAAATATTGAATATCTCATGTATGTACACAGATGGTCTTTTTGTAGCCATGATGGGATGTTAAAACACAAAATGGAATAACCAAAGAATACTAGCAACATAGTACACTGTCTAGTTTTGGTTGTCTACTCTGATAATTGTGGGCTGACCAGAAGCAACAGCTTACTGCTGCTGTTCAGCATCATAAGATAGTATCATACCACATATCACTGGCTCAAGAGGAGATAAAACTTCAAAATGTGATTTCTACTGAATACATATTGCTCTAACATTATTGAAAAGTTGAAAAAGAGTAAGCCAAACCATCATAGTAAAGAACTACCTTATATAATTTTCCTTCTCAAAGAAGAACTTATTTAATTGTGGAACCAACCTACATGCCTTTCAATAGATGAATGGATAAAAAAACTGTGGTATATATACACAATGGAATGTTACTCAGCATTAAAAGAGAATAAAATCATGGCATTTGCTGGTAAATAGATGGAGTTGGAGAGTATTATGCTAAGTGAATTAAGCCAATTCCAAAAAAACAAATGCTGAATGTTTTCTCTGATAAGTAGTTGCTGACCCATAATAGGTGACGGGGAGAGCTTGGGAGGAATTTTGGATGAGACAAAGGAGAGAGAAGGGAAGGGAGGATGCATGGGGATAGGAAAGAGGGTGGGATGAGATGGACATCATTACCCTAGGTGCATGTATGAAGTCACAAATGGTGTTACTCTACTTTGTGTACAACCAGAGAAATGAAAAATTGTTCTCTTTGTACTATGAATTAAAATGCTTTCTGCTGTTATGTATAACAAAATAGAATAAATAGCTATTTCTTTTTTTTTTGGCCATAGTATTTTTATTTTTTTTTATTTATTTTTTTATTGGTTGTTCAAAACATTATAAAGCTATTGACATATCATATTTCATACAATAGATTCAAGTTGGTTATGAACTCCCAATTTTACCCCAAATACAGATTGCAGAATCACATCGGTTACACATCCACATTTTTACATAATGCCCTATTAGTAACTGTTGTATTCTGCTACCTTTACTATCCTCTACTATCCCCCCTCCCTCCCCTCCCATCTTCTCTCACTACCCCATCCACTGTAATTCATTTCTCTCCTTGTTTATTTTCCCATTCCCCTCACAACCTCTTATATGTAATTTTGTATAACAATGAGGGTCTCCCTCCATTACCATGCAATTTCCCTTTCTCTCCCTTTCCATCCCACCTCATGTATCTGTTTAATGTTAATCTTTTCTTCCTGCTCTTCCTCCCTGCTCTGTTCTTAGTTGCTCTCATTATATCAAAGAATACATTTGGTATTTGTTTTTTAGGGATTGGCTAGCTTCACTAAGCATGATCTGCTCTAGTGCCATCCATTTCCCTGCAAATTCTATGATTTTGTCATTTTTTAGTGCTGCGTAGTACTCCATGGTGTATAAATGCCACATTTTTTTATCCATTCATCTATTGAAGGGCATCTGGGTTGGTTCCACAGTCTGGCAATTGTGAATTGTGCTGCTATGAACATCGATGTAGCAGTATCCCTGTAGTACGCTCTTTTAAGGTCTTCAGGGAATAGTCCAAGAAGGGCAATAGCTGGGTCAAATGGTGGTTCCATTCCCAGCTTTCCCAGGAATCTCCATACTGCTTTCCAGATTGGCCGCACCAGTTTGCAGTCCCACCAGCAATGTACAAGAGTACCCTTTTCCCCACATCCTCGCCAGCACTTGTTGTTGTTTGACTTCATAATGGCTGCCAATCTTACTGGAGTGAGATGGTATCTTAGGGTGGTTTTGATTTGCATTTCTCTGACTGCTAGAGATGGTGAGCATTTTTTCATGTACTTGTTGATTGACTGTATGTCCTCCTCTGAGAAGTGTCTGTTCAGGTCTTTGGCCCATTTGTTGATTGGGTTATTTGTTTTCTTATTGTTTAATTTTTTTAGTTCTTTGTATACTCTGGATATTAGGGCTCTATCTTAATTGTGAGGAGTAAAAATTTGTTCCCATGATGTAGGCTCCCTATTTACCTCTTTTATTGTTTCTCTTGCTGAGAGAAAACTTTTCAGTTTAAGTAAGTCCCATTTGTTGATTCTTGTTATCAACTTTTGTGCTATGGGTGTCCTATTAAGGAATTTGGAGCCCGACCCTACAATATGTAGATCGGTGCCAACTTTTTCTTCTATAAGGTGCAGAGTCTCTGATTTGATATCTAGGTCCTTGATCCATTTTGAGTTCACTTTTGGGCATGGCGAGAGGAGGGGATTCAGTTTCATTTTGTTGCATATGGATTTCCAGTTTTCCCAGCACCATTTGTTGAAGATGCTATCCTCCCTCCATTGCATGCTTTTAGCTCCTTTATCAAATATAAGATAGTTGTAGCTTTGTAGATTAGTCTCTGTGTCCTCTATTCTGTACCATTGGTCCACCCTCCTGTTTTGGTACCAGTACCATGCTGTTTTTGTTATTGCTCTGTAATATAGTTTTAAGTCTGGTATCGCTATACCGCCTGATTCACACTTCCTGCTTAGAATTGCTTTTGCTTTTCTGGGTCTTTTATTTTTCCATATGAATTTCATGATTGCTTTATCCATTTCTACAAGAAATGCCGTTGGGATTTTGATTGGCATTGCATTAAACCTATAGAGAACTTTTGGTAATATCGCCATTTTGATGATGTTAGTTCTGCCTATCCATGAACAGGGTACATTTTTCCACCTTCTGAGATCTTCTTCTATCTCTCTCTTTAGGGTTTTGTAGTTTTCATTGTATAAATATTTCACCTCTTTTGTTAGGTTGA